TAAATCGTCTCTTTGACCAAAATAAATATAACTTCGGGAAAATACATACTACATATTAACGAATAACGATTAATTTAACTAGTCTAACTTACTATAGTTAGTATAACTCGGTCTATGTAGAGAACACCACGACGATACATGGATTACAGTTAATTACGAGTAATACAAGGTTTACAGTATACGCAAGACATTATAGTAATATATCTTGACACCAAGTGCATAGACTCATAGTATAACAATAAACCTAATAAAATAATATATTTTGCACTCTGAAATGCATTGTATCCAAATTATTATATTATTACTATCTTTTAAAAGTAGATAAAAATATAGTTGAAGTAATGATAATGATTAATCTATGAATAATACTATAATTAATACTATCATTGACACGTATGTATTGGTTTTGTTTAAGCGTACAGATAAAATACGACAGGAAATAAATAGCAGATAGCTCGACTATTATTTTATACTAAAATCTAAAAAGACAATCAAAGCTCTTCGTTCAGCCACAATTGTATAGGAATTATAACAATTGGGAGTATAATCTACAAATATATAATGTTTATAATAATTTCGTTTCAAATAAACATGAAATTATATATTAGGCATAATCAATAAGGAAAAAACCATGTACTTAATACAATCACGATTCCTTATATCAAACTACATAATTACAGAGTTAAACACTTCATAACTTTTAAATTTTTAATATTACATTTAATTGTATAAATTATTTAATTTAAAAAAAAATTGTTAAACATTCTAAAAATTCTAAAAATGTACACCAACTACCGATACAACATTTTAGAGAACAGGCTAATAATAACCACTGACGTTGAATCCACAGTTAAAAATTCAAATGATTATAATAATAATAACACAATCATAATGTTAAACTCATAACCACGGTCTCAGAATAACGCATAACTCTTAAGTCATAATCACACTAGTGATACTATATACGTCTTGTACAATATGTATAGTATATTAAACATTATGAATATCTATAAAAACAAAATATAATCATAAATTATCTACAAACAAAAATTTATTATCACTTTTGTTCACAAAAATTGACCTTCGGAAGGCGATAACGACACCAAACAAAATGCATGAAAGATCCCTTCAAAAAACACAAACCGAGTATGTTTTAAGGCGATGGCGGACCTTAGGGCTAGTAATTAGTAAAAGTGATAGACACATGGTCGGTCTCTCAGTGTCAGTGTACATTATGCCTTGCAAGGCATACAATATTGAATAAGCTGTTAATTGTATTAACTCTTATTTAGCTTTATTATTCACTTCTGTTTCGGTAAATTGTATTTATGCAACATGTTACAGTATTACGTAAGAAAGTGTTTCTTATTATTTCAATTTTACTTATCATTTGTTATTACCTACTTTATTATTTATTCAACGGAAACACGATAAATGCCATAATCATTATTACGTGCCCAAAGCTTCGCAAGAATTTACAGTGTGTAAGCGTGATGGTTTAGTGTCTGCAGCTTATTCAAACGTGAGTATTCATGACTTCCTTTAAAAAGAAAAGGTAATTGAATTGAAGAGACTGCAGACTTGTTAACCTTAACCACGAAGTCTAATTACGAAATAGGTAATAATCTTTTTTTTTTTAAACAAACTATCCGCAGCGTCTGTGGCTATTGGACATAACATTACATTATATGTATATATTTACGCATGACATGCATTTTTAAATGATATACAGAATAACATATTTAGGAATAAAAGAAAAAAAGAAGATAATAATCTTAATATGACAGAACTATCATGTTATAGTCTTAATATTATTATTGTTATTTCTTTCATAATTCTGGCGAATTCGACGACGGACCAATAGATTGGGATTATGTCAAGAAAAAAAACAATTTAAACTTCGGCGCCGTGATATATTATTTGAAGTCAAAATAAGCACTGAACATTTTCCGTATTTCAGTATAAATATCAGTATTATAATATAGTGCTCCTAGATAGGTGTTACGCGGGGCCGATGAAAACGAAAGAAAAATATGGAGACCAAGGCTCTTTCAAGGCGGCGGGAGTGAACCGTCTTAGACATTTGCCCTTTATAATTTAATACTATATATTAGTCCAAATAATTATGATAATTTCATTGTTTTTAAACAATGAATGGAAGAATGTGTTCCATTTCTTTGCCTACAATAGCAGGAAACTTGCGTTTTGACAAATTATCATCAGGTCGAGATGGCACTGTTTCAGTCAATTGTTCATGTACAAATGAATTTCAAGTATACTATTCAAGGACAACGCAAATGTCTTAAAAAATAAATCTAGGTAGGTGCGCAACAACCGTTCAAATACAAATACGATGTTAGGTGATATAAGTGGTATACCCTGATTATATCATGCATAAATAATAATATGTCATAATCATAAACGATTGAAATTGAAGTACTATAAGTTACAAATTATAATAATAGTAACAATAAGACAACAAACAATAATTTGTACACGTCACATTATTTTTTTTTGTTTTGAAATAAATTACACGTCACGCATCATTCAAAAATAAAGCCCGTTGAAAGTGTTTTCTCCGAAAGTAGGTAACTCGTTTGTTTTTCTTAATTATAATAGTTAAATGCACCTGCAATACAATTAACTAATTAATTGACATAAAGCGAGATTAATTTTTGTCACTTTTTAAGTTCTGACATTAAAATATTATGCCCGAGAAGACGAACGCCAGAAATAGTGTTGCACAGCACTAATAATAGTCCCCAGTTATTACGCACAATATTATAAGATTACAACTTTAAAAATAAAATAATAAATAATGTATTTAAAAATTAGAAACTCGGTAACGCTGTAGGTACAATAATATCATATTATACAATATACTGTAATAGTGAAATATGTGTGTTTTTCAGACGTCAGACTCAATTGCCGAGAATGTTGTGGGGGCGGGGGGAAATCCTGACATTGAACGTTATTATTAATTATACGCGAAATAAAGAAACGTTTCCAAGATTTAGATTTAGGTATTATAATAATAATCATAATATTAACTCGAGACAATCGAGGGACTTAATTAACATCGCGTCCTTTGTCCTTGGGAACAGGCCTCTCAGTCGTACGAATTTGTAACACTCTCAACGACCGGCTACCGACTATAACCACCGTCGCTCGGCTCGCACTCACATACCGAACACCATAGGACAGAGACCTTGGCTTGAATTCGCCGACCCGATTTTCTTTGAGAAATCATTACCAAACATTTTCAAGAAATTGTTTTTTGTTTTGTATTTATATGTACATATTATTATTAATAGGTACATATGTACATATTATTTCTAGTTCGCGAATTAACAATAAACAATCTACAAATACGTGGGTTCAGAGGGAGTTAAATACGATTTCGTTAAAAAAATATAAAACATCGTCGTAGTCGTCATGCATAATAAAACCACTGCGACAGCGACTCAAGCGGCCCTGTGCACCAAAACACGCCGAGGGAGAAATAGAGACACAGACACACGCAAAAAAGAGAGATCGTGAGAGTGGTCGGACGTCTTAAAAATATTTATTACAATCATATATTACACTGTAGAATAATGTATATATAACGATACTTGGATTCTCAGCAGCTTTGTTATATTATTATATATTATATTATAGTAGTACAGATACAATTGTAATGATTTTTCGACGCTTGCAATAACATAATATATAGGTGTTCCGCGTACGAACATCTCTACGTTGTGTAATATATCAGCTTCGATTATTACAGAGGACAAGGCCCGCGTTATTATTATGGAATAATAACGTTTTTGTTTTTGAAACTTTTACATTACGCTCCGCTCGTAATAAATAATAAGACGACTTTTGTTCGCGCGTTATTGTTCTCCCGTACACACTACACAGATATCGTGTTACACAGCGAACTCAACACTCGTGTTATGCACCATAATTAAATTATTGTATCGATTATATTATTATTATATAGCTCGGAGAACAATCGATATACGTCGTCTGTAAACGTATATCTATCGAATATACATACGCGTACGCATTACAAATAGTGGTTTTGAGATCAATGGCGTTTCGAAGGGAGAAACATCGACGAAAATTACATCAAGCGTCTCCGACTGTTGCCATAATACGCCTAAAAACCACCAAACGATCAGGCGTGTAAATCTTATGACGGTGATTACTAGGGCGAGGTGTAACAAGATGGGACACGAGAAATATGTTATTATATTATGCATATACCTAAATATTACAATACAGCATAGAGCAAGCGACGAAATTGACAATTATTCAATTATTTACATTCCATGACGATTGTTCGTATTAAAAAACGTGCGATAAAATATTATATTAACTGCCATTACAACAACAACACGCCAATCGGTCACATGGATCGATTAGCGTGACTATACACATGCACTACTATAATGTACTTAATAATATTCCATATAAATTAATTTTTTTTTTTGAATTTAAACCAAAAGCAGCCTTACTTTCGATGAATACATTTATCATTTTAATACGGCGTTATCGACATAAAAAATATATACTCGATACATATGTTCAGATTCGAGAACGACACGGGGCGGGACACGGCATAATATAATATGACAAAATTGGTTCGAGTAATTATATTATGTCAGTTGGAGTCGCTTTCTCGCCAAACTATAAACGAAAAGACGATTTCCAGACCACAGCTGAAGACGGACATACGTCGTTTGAAGTAAAATATAGTCGGAAAATCGAAATCACCTTTGGATGCAAAATGACAACAAGACATCAATTGATTAAACTAGGCATTCCAAGAGTATAAATAAAAGATCGTTCGGCTAACAACCGCCGCGGCCGTTAGAAACACCCGCTGCTCAGACATCACTAGTGATAGTTGGGTTGCTTAGCTGGTAAGTTTTCAGGCGTAGCGGACACGACAGCGCCGCGGCTGCACTACAAATACAACTACAACTACAGCAATAATAAAAAGGCGCATAATTCGGAAAATTAATGTATATTGTGTATGGTAGTTTATTTATTTATTATAATATAGTTTTTGTTTTGGCGGAACAACTTGAAATAATAATGCGAGTATGTCGTCGGCCAAAATCCGATCACGTCTGGTCGATGAAAAATATAAATTACATATTAAGGGTATAGTAATGAATTATTGGAATAAACGACGAATTATATAACTTTAATCTAAAAAACCCAACAAAGGGTCGCGGCCAGGGTCGCGGCCAGTGTCGGAATGACAGGCAATGATGGGCTTGGGCCGGTTTTTGAACAGCAATTTTTTGTTGACGATGGCTTCGACCACGTACTCGTCTGCGTCCGGTTTCTTCTTCAACACAGCAAGTGGCTTTTCGAACGTCTGAGCTCTGCCATACAGGATATGATGGCCGATGATCAATATGGGCACGCCATCTTGCATGGTAGCAAACAAGTCACCGACGTATTGGTTTTCGAGCGGCGTGTGCCGGCGGGTTTCGAGCTCACCTTGTAGTTCCAGGGCGGCCCATTCGGGTGGTGATTCGAGTCCGTCGACGTTTTCGATCAGTTTCACTAGAATCATTTTCGGTTGGTTTTTTTTTTTGGTTCACTACAAAATCAAATCAAAACGTGCCCGGTTTAACACAACAGCTAGGAAACAACAACAATCCACCGCTCTGGGCAAATACAATACATAAATAGGAAACGGCGTGTACATAGAATATAGACAGCCAGGGACTGGGACTTAATATTTTTATAAAAACTGGTGGTATTGTTATCTTCAAATTTGAACTTATCACTGCAGACAGTACATCTTTAAAATGCCACAATTTCTGTTTCTCGACATTGATTAATGAATAACAAGTTAAATAATTTAAAAACCAAATAAACCGTACACTAAAGATAATATTCGTTTTTCTGTAATGAAAAATTACATAGAAATTGGTGCCCACCATATTATTATACGTACGACGCGTCGTAACGATCGCCACGACAAAAACTAATTCAATACGCAAACAATTGGGAGGCAATGCGTATGATACCAAATTTACTGAATAGCTTGTCGATAGCCGAAAAATAATGATTGGTAAAAATGCCATAAAAAAATTCACAACTATAGCGCGGGAACGTTTATTTTGTCACACACGTCACGCAAACGAAAAGCGGTGGCGACCGATGAGTGAATATGTTGCCTACGCACAACGCCTTTAAGCGTCAAATTCCGTTTTCACTCTATCATAAAATGTAGTAAAAGCTACACGACATTGACGCATTTAACATTTATGAATCATAACGAATTTGTGTAATATAAGATAAGTCGTTTACGCAGCATTTTTACAGATATTCGGTGCATTTACATTTAAATTGCATACAAATGTGTGGAATTTACATAAATAAATACCGATTGTAATAAGACGTTAACGCCGACATACGACCAACGAGAAACTGAGGTACAGATAACTGAGGTAATCACGAAACGTATTTTAACAGCTAAGACGTTTTAAACACGGATACAAAAATAGCAGAATCGATATTAACAAAATTTCCACTGTAAAATTCATAAATAATGTAATTATAACGAGTCTGACACAAGCACATAGTCCATATATACAACAGAATTAATAAATTTAAAACCACCCAAATCGGTTTATTGCTGAACACGACAAACCACCCAACAAGGAATTAACGTGAAACACCTTTCATTGCATACATGTAAATTGCCGACTTTTTGAACGTAATCGACTGGGAAACGACTATTATTTAACTGCAATATTCCAACAAAGTACAGTTCGTTAGATGAAAAATGCAGCAAGCGCTTAAGATTTCACTAAAGGTACAATACAACTGTCACGTTAAACACGAGTTAAAAACGTATTTTTATTTTCCGCACGACTATTACGACAGAAAAACTACGAGAAACAATAAAATTATACAAGTTCATTAACTATTATAACATTATACCATTGTGTATGTTATATTATTTAATATACGTAAACGCACTTTTAATATAAAGACTTTAATACTTTTTTTTTTTTGTATATTATATATTTATACATAGTAGGGAATACATGATATTTACTAGCTATAAATATATTAGTTTTTTTTAGAGGCTCAGTCATTCCACGACCCTCTATATAAAATTACTCAAATACCCTTGGCCCACTATATTCTCTCTCGGTACAAATATAAAGGGTTGCTATCCCCGCTCGAACGTTCCATAATGAGAGAGAACTTCATACTAAATCTCAACCCTCGCCGCCCTAGGACTTTACAACTTTAATTAATTTTTTCTCTGAATATCTAAAACCAACTATTTCGGGCTCATAAAACTTCGTAGTGTCCCGTTCAACAATATGATGGCACGTTTTAATTAAATTTGATCTCATTCTCTCCTTATAATAATTATATACACCATAGAACATTTCCAACTAAATTAACAAAAATATCCATCCTGCAAATATCTAGGCAATAATTTCTGTGGTATTGTAAGCAAACAATATATTTATTTAAACATTTATACTTTTAGGTACCTACATTTATTGAATTTAAAATACAATGAATCAATAAATTAATATTTAAACTATATTTATATAGTAAAAATGGAGGGCCAATATTTTTTTCCACTTTTTTTCTTAAGAAATTGTATAAGACCACGATAACCGTCGAAAAAAATTTAAGTACACCAAAAGATGGTGTCGGACCCAAAATAACCTACGCTATTGTACCAATACATACGTCGCCGCTTAAAATCTAAAGAATATGTTAATTCCAACGACTGCAGACTAAGGAAGTACAAAAACCCAAGTTTATTCAACGAGTTGTCAATATGATATATCTAAATTGTATAAATAGTGGTTTTTAAAGCGATGAATAACAATTTAAGTAAAAATGATTTTCTAATCATTTAATATTTACTAAATCATTAACTAAGAGTTCACTAATAAATAATAATAAACCAATATTGTTATGTAGGAAAGTGTACTTAATATAAATTGATTTAACTTTGGTCAGTACGGTCCAAGCAAATATTGATCATACAGTAACTATCAGTAACATAACACTACTATAGTTATAATAATTACTTATATAATGTTACTAAATAAAATTATATTTTATTAATAATTGCAGCAGCTCTGGATTTATTAAATTCACAATTTGTAGTGCTACATAGATTTTAAAATTATATTATAAATGCACTACGCTTATTGAAGAACACGTTTAGTATAATTACAACCTTAATTTAGACCCCGGGGGGTCCAGAACCCCTTGACCCTCTCACCGCTTACTGACGCGATGTTGGGCAACAAACAACTCGAGTCATGCATACCAAGACCTTGAAATTCATACCGAATATTGACCCAATGTATTATCTAGCACCATTCCCTACCACAATGAATACAAGAATGTACAGCGAACTATAAAGACTATACCTACGCTATACCAATATAATAATATAGTCATTGTAATATTATGAAGATAGTATGTATAGGAATCCCCTTCTACTATTCACCTGATAATATATTTGCATTGTATTGCAAAAATAAGACATTACACAGTATGGATACTGTAGAGTAACAATAAGATGAGAACAAATATAATAAAATAATATTCATTGATGGCGTCATGCGTGATAATAAAAAGGAGACGCCATTAAGATAAGTTGAATAATTTTGAAACTGTTAAATTAGAAATTGTGTGTCTGATCAAAATAATCTCAACCACCTTCCAAATTGCAAAATTCTGCCTTGACTTCGTTTTCGCCCACTTGTTTGTATAACATGAACACCAATCAAAAGGAAAATATTCACTTTAAAAGTAAATATAAGGGAGTTATTTATTCTTTTGTCTTTTACTTATATGTGTATTCTTCGTGCTTGTATGTGCGTTATACTAGTTATACATATTGTCATTGCCTCACACCATATACTTACATACGGCCGTGAACACACCATGAATCACAAAATTTACTTTTAACGATCACCATTAAAACATGTTATAGGTACAATAAAGTATAAACATAAACTAATAAAAATACCACGCAGTACAGTATTCATAATATAATAGCTTATTTTTAATTGTATTAGAATTTAATGATTAAATTACTGCAAATTGAATAAGAATTATCAAGTCCTAACTTCAAAAGGAAGTCAAAATATATTAGAAACATTTTAATTCTAGTACCGGTCACACTATGCTACTATAGTTTAAATTCAAAGATTTTTTTTAAATTTAGTCTATGATAAAATTAGGTTACACTGACAATGGGATTTTGAATAATAAATAAATTAAACTAGAAATTAGAATATAATTGTTTTTAGGTTAAATTAAAGAATAAATTAGAAAAATAAAGTGAACTGAATTATGAATCATTGAATCTGCAATAATGAAAATTGGTTATACATTTATTTTATAGAAAATAATCTATTAAAAATATACTCATAAGTCAAAAGCTATAACACTAGATAAAGACAGTATTAAAGTTCTTTAAACGTTATAAATTAAACGTGTATAGAATTTGGTTTACACGGTAATGCACTTGGTAAGTAATTATATTTTATGACGCATAAATCAGATATGATGATAAATCGGTGAAGATCTGAGTACTCATTAGTCACTCGTTATGAAGTATAAAGCGATATGCTATACGATAAATATTCAAAATAAAAGTAAACCCATTGAGGGGTATTATAACGGACTTTCATAGGTTGCAAACACAACTCGTGTATTTGACAGTTATAATTTGACTAAATCCACACGATTAGTCAGGTAGACCATTCCCAGGATCTGTTCATATTAATTGAAAACTCAATTCTTCGAGACCAAATATCTGTGTTGGTAAAGACATTTTCGTCGACTCATGTCACTTTGACAGCATTACCAACATATGAATGTCATCCTTGGCAAGGTGGCGAATAACGAAAAACAAACACTGCAAATATCAAAAACCAAATATTCGTACCTACAATGGTACTGTTCTCACGACATTTCCCATTACATGATGAGTATCTACGAAATACATGTCGTAATCTACACGATTCTTAACCCCCACAGCAAAATTTAATTCCTTCAAGTAAAATATCATCATCAATTATATTTGATATAATTGGCCATTGACTAGTTATTTCAATTTTGAAATAATAGTACCTACAGTCTTATCCAAAAAGAAGAAATTGAAGGAATTTAGTTTGGTTTAACATAAAATGTTTTATTATCTTTCTGCGAGTAATAACTTTTAATAACTGAGGAATAAGATACATAAAATTAAAATTAAATACAATTTTTTATCTTAAATTTAATTTTCGATGCCGGTTGAAGTATTAGAAATTTAGAAAATTAAGTTTTTCTGCCCAGAGGACAATGAACGTTTTTTTTTCAACCGGCGGTCGGAAAAGTGAGAATCCGCGCTACGCAGCGGTCGACAAGGTTATACTCGTACTTACTGTCCAAATCAGATAAATATACATTAGTCTATATCAATACTGGTTAGGTTAAAGGTTGGGTATACCAGTTGGGTTACTCCCGTACTGTTCTATATGAAACAGTTTGGCAGAAATCTAGATTTTGAGAACAGGAACAGTTCATTATGGATTACCATTACAAAAAATAGTA